ATGAACTGAAAGATGTCCTGACTCTGAAAGATGCTCTTCATCGGAGGCCAGTCTGGCTAATTGGGCCTGTCTAAGCCTTGCGTGAAAGGTTCTTTCAATTTCTGCGTCAAAAGGAAATTCAGCTGAGAGATCCCCTCGCATAAAAATATTAGAGATAGATCTATTACTATAAAAATAAAAAAATAAATAAAAAATAACAGAAATTAAATTTTAGTTGTAGAACAACAAAATTTCAATTGAACTAAACCCAGAACTCTATATTTTGGCAGTCCCCGACAACGGCGCCAAAAACTTGATCAAAAAAATAGCAAGTGTAATATTTTTGCCTTTGTAGTAATAAGGGAAAAATCCCCCGAATTTCGATCTCAAGGACTACGTCTAGGTATTGAGTTCAATGCTTGGCTCAATTAAACGAAAACTAGTGTTTGTATTTGTTTTGCAGAATTGGGAAAACTAATTGCAAGTAAAATAAATGAATGTGGTGAATAGTTTTGACAGGTATGAGTAACATGCTAGGGAAGGTGTATGATTCTTTCTTGTAAAAGCTAAGAACTATCATTGCAACAACATACTTTAAACATTAAATTACCGGTTATTTAGGGTGTTTGCTCCTAAGTCCTTACTGAGCAAACTTTTAAACATTCCTCCTAAGTCATATGTCCATAGAAACTTATCGACGAAATTAAGCATTATCTTATCAAGAATACTCTGGTTTCTATAGGGTATCTCTAATCCTAGGTGATATCTACTATAGAATACTCTCATAAACACATTATCAATGGCGGTCCAGCCTACTTGCTTATTATCATCATTCCCACTTTGTCCGAGAGAAAGAAAGCATTAAAAACATTATGAGAACAAATTTACTGAATACAACTAGAATTGTCATCGCAATAATAACTTCAAATTCGTTACAGGTCTGAATTAGGAACACCTCTAGCATTGGGGGGTTAGCTACTCATAGAAATAAAGAAAAATATGATAAAGAGTGTTGTCATTACAGAAATTGATTGGAAAAGAGGTCTTCAATTGCAACAACTCATGAAAATCTGGATTTCAAGCATAAATTTGAGTTCTCCAGCCTTCAACAGTGTTCTTTGCCGTCAAAAATCGTCCGACCCCTGAGAAGTCGCGTCCCCTGGATTTTATAACGTGCACCGGGCTTTTCAGCAAAATTCGGGCCTTCATACACGTATCATACGCGTATGGCTCTGGGCAGCTCATACATCATACGCAGACAGAACGCGTTTAACTTTCCTGCATAGATCCATACGCGTATCATACGCGTACGGCAAAATGGATTTTTTTCCTGTAATTTTTTGATTCTCGTATGGAACGCGTAAGGGCTAGCCACGCACCAGGCCATACACGTATGGTACGTGTATGGGCAGTATTGAAGATTTGTCTTTGTTTCCTTCATCTGATCTGTTCTGTAGTCCTTTGACTTCGTGAACCTATATTCAATCAACACACTACCAAAAAGCTTAAAAATAACCAAAATAAACTAAAACGCTTAAAAAAATAACTAAATAAAGAATGACTCCAACAACTACTAACTAAGAACAAAGTGTTATGATTTTCCAAGATTTTTGACGAATAAGCAATAGAAATTGTAGCACAAATGGTGACTGATCAACTTCCATCTGAGACGGTGGCCTCCACGGCCGCTCACGGTGTTCGGGCTCCTAGGGTTCTAAAGGTTTAAGTGTAGGGTTCTTAGGAGACTAGGGTTCATGGGGTTTAGGGTTAGGTTTCATACATTTATAAGGTTCTTGGCTAGGGTTCATAAATTCATAGGGTTCTTCTATTTTTTTCTGGGTTTCGGTTGAAGGTTTGAAGATCCCGGTTAAAGATCAACTGGAGATCTGGGTTGGACAATGGTGTTTAGGGCGGCTAGAGGCTAACCACCGACGGAGCCGATTTTTGGCCGGTGATGGATGGATGTTTATTCTAGAGAGAGGTTAGAGGATTCATAGTAGAGAGAGGGAGAGTGAAGTCAAAGAGAAAAAGAAAAATGGAAAGTGAGAAATGGTGAAACAAATTTGCTTAAATACTCCATTTGTTTGTGGTCAGATGGGTGACGTGTGGCCATCCATTGGCCACACAATCAAAAGACCGTTGATCAGCCTTATGCACGCTCGCTCACCATGCATCACAGTCAACGTGCAATCTTGTTCATGCGTTTGACTTACTTTTGATCAACACTCCAGAATTAACTTTTGGTAGCCATGTGATCAAGATCAAACATTCTCATGCTCGTTGGTACACCATAAGCTCATAGATCATCCACATAAAATCTAAACGGACTCAACCTCCATTCTGAGCCAAGCTCAGTTGCTAATACACCTCCTTGTTTTACTGTGTTGATATAAAATGCTCCCCCTAGTCTTTTTTTTATTTTTTAATTTTTTTGCTTTAGATATTCATTTATTCTTAATAAATTATTTCTATTTATGTTTTATAAAAAAGTAAAATAAATTATTTTCTCTAATAACATCATAAATATTTATTAATTAAATAAAATTTACTAATTGATATTTTTACTTATAAACTTTATTATATTTCTTAACAAAATAATTGCTATACAATTTCTTTTTACAACAAACTAATTAGTTTTTAATATTAGGTTTTTTAATATTTTCGACTAATCAATAAAAATATTTTTTTTATTAGTATTAACTCCAAACTTTCAAATACTAACTTTCTTTTCCATCTTAAAAAATATTTTTATTAAATATGCATTTTTTTTAAATTATCAAATCTTTTCAATTTTCAAAACACGAATCAAATTTAAAACAGTTAATTTCCATTAACATAACAAAATTCAGGAATTTTCTCAACAAAGGATTATCAAAATTGCTTTCAAATCAAATTCAAAACTGCGTCTATCATTAATCAATTTTCAAAATCAGACAAAATTTAAAAATTATTCGAAAGCGATTCTACACAATCCTATAAAAAATAATAATCAAACACTTTGAACTACGAAAGACTCTGATTTCTTCACAAGAGAATACGTAGACACACGGTTTAAAAATCAAGGCGAGTCCACTAACTAAAATACTAGATATTTTTCTTTGTTTTATTAATATGATTAAATAGAAAATATTCTCATTAAAGTCCTAAAGTTAAAGAGAGTCTCCTTGAATACAAGGAAGATAAAGAGTGTCTAACACCTTCTTTTTATCTAATTAACTCGCGAACCTAAAAATCTCTAAACAAATTAGGGTTATTCGCTTCTTTCTCGTCCTTAGGACAAAAATAGTGGTGGCGACTCTCGTATTTTTTGCAGGTTACAACACACACCTCTGAAAATCCCAAAATACTTTTGAATAAATACGGAGATACATTTCCTGACGCATCAAATCTCATTTGCCAAAATTTAATTCTGATATGTATCTTGAAATTTTTCTCATACAATTCATTTTGTTATTTGAACTTATTTCCTACAGATTTCTATTAAAATTGGTGTCGCTTTCGGAAACTCTCGATCAATTTGACCCAATATTAAAGTCATAGGAATTGTATCGTATTTTGCCCCTTATGTTCCTGTGTTTTACACAATTACACGACCTAATATAAAAAACTCAATTTTCTAAAAAATCGACTCTGAATCAAAATTTTAATATGTCAATTTATCAAAAAAAAATCAGGAATGAAAGTCCCTTATTTTGGTACAAAATACAGAATACCGTCCTAAAAACTTTAATTCTTTGTTTTTCTATTTTATTTTATTTATTTTCCGTTTTTATATTTTCAAAAAAACCAGAAGATTTATAGACACTTAATTTGATTTAATTTTATTTTTAATTATATTTTTATAATTTTATTTTAATTATTTTTCCATTTTCCAATTATTTTTCTCAATAAAGAAATAGCTGATATTTATATATTTGTTGGATTACTATTGCATAACTACTAGGTGTGTCGATTCAAATATTTCCAATACTAAGTTTTAAAAAAAAAAACGCATGAAACTTTTCATATATGCTTATTCAAAAATATATTATTTTCGTAAAAAATAAAATTTATTCGAAGACGCATTTGAAAATACCCTTTTTTTATAAAAATAAAATATTTATTCGGATATGCATCTCTAAAAATGCATTTTTCATAAAAAAATAAGATTTATTCGGATATACATTTTTAAAATTACGTATTTTGTGAAAATTATGAGTCCGAAGATACATCTCCGAAAACATGTATCATTTTAGAAATTTTATAGAGTCATGATGAAAGGTACTCAAAAGAGTTTCAAGGACTGCAACAGTTAGACAGTCATAAATTCTCATGTAAATAAACAAAGGTTTCAACTGAATGTTCAATATAAGAATGAAACAATCAAGTCAAACAAATAAAGTCATGATGAAACAGGAAGAAGAGAAAATATAATTTGTTTATTAAATAATTCAAGTAACAGACTTGATATTATTTATTCAAGTCAGCACGACAATAGACGTGAAAATGACTAGAAGAAAAAAGCGACATTCTACCTTCCATTTTTGCAGTCTCCCCTGTATGCATCCAGTCATTTAGTCCATCCATCCTACTCCACCGATAAATGTTGCATAACTAAGGTTAAAATTAGAAACAAAAATAAATACAGCAATTGAATGAGCACAGTGCCCAGCGCAATTTTAGAACACCTTTCACAATAATCAAGTTGATGTCTTCCAATGGCCTTGACCAGCTCAATGAGTACAAAACTCGGAATGTATGAAAATCATGAACATCTCATGGCTCTGGCACCTTTTCGACACTGATATAGGCCCGAGCCACTATCAAGTGTGGTGTATGGTGAAAGCAGATAAAAGCAGCACCTTCCTTGCAGAATGTCTTTGATGGATTTTGATGAGCATTTGTCAGCCTATCGCATTAGAGTATCAAATAGATGTCCGCTGAAACTCCAGTGATGAACTTGGATGAGCTCCAATCTGGGGCTGAGAGAAGCAACAAGCAAGAGCATTCCAGTTAAATAAGACAGATAAAATCCACAACAATCACCATTGATTCCCCTGTTCTGGCATATCTTGGGGATTACGAGTTTTAATTTGGTACACCTTCTTAATGGGTTTATCATAAGCTCCCCCTAATGCAGCTTCTTGATGCCTAGCATATACTCCATCCGTGTCTGGAGCTTTACTAATCCAGTTCGGAGGGGGTATAGGAGGACCAATGTTCTGGACAAATTGGGGTTGTAGATTGGTTGTGTGCCCTGAATTTTGTGGCCTCATTAACATCATCGCAGGTGACCTTGGTGAAGGCGCTGCAGATGACCTAGGTTTCACACCTTCATCCATTGTCAAAGCATGAAATCCAGTTTTCATGTTGTGGAACTGTTCATGATACTGCGACCTATCTTGTATCCTAATATTCTGTCTGTCATTTTGCCAACCATTAGACGACATTGGAAATCTAGGCCTAGTCATCATGCCCTGGGGACTGTAATTTTGTCCATAATAATTGTTTGATTCCTCACCATAATATCTTCCAGATCCGGAGGCTCCAGTTGGTCTGACCTTGTTCATTGTATGATGGCCATGAAACTGGTCCGGTAATCCATATGATGTATTATTATTATTATTATTATTATTATTATTATTATTGAACTGTAGGGAGTTTCTGACAAGACGGTGAGCTGCTTCTCCTAGTTGAGGGCCGGCAATTGCTCCAGGCACCTGTTGTCTGTGAGATGTAACAAAATAGAAAGGTAAGAGTTCTTTGAAATTATAACAACTTATCACTCACAATATAAAGACCAGATTTCATACACAAAATCTTCATGTGCTTAATTTGAAGGGCAATATGAGAATGTAAAGAAACCTACATAACATGAAATTTTCTAGATTTTCCAAGAAAATATTTCTTCAAGTATGGATGATTTCTTCAGGAAAAAATCCGCATATAGTAGTAACATTACCGCATTGAACATTAAATCTAAGTAGTTCTGGGATGCGATGGTTGTAATATTGTTTAACAAAAGGCAATAATATGAAAATAATGTCACACCAGTGACCAAGCTAACAAACTGCAGAATGGATTCTCACCTTTCTCGTGCTTGATGCCGCCTACTATTGTCTTCATGCCATAAAATAGGAAGAGGCTTAATATCACCGGCTCTTAATATCTGCAAACATAACCAATGTCAGAGTATATGTGATCAATGTCCTTGAACCAAAAGGAAATAGACGAGAATTAAACTTTCTTTGAAAATGATGTAACAATAGTATATAAAATGAATTTACACATGGCAACCATCCGAGCCATGTTATTAACAAAAATCTAGTCATGGAACACCATCTACGGGATGAATTCATTACTTTATGCTAGATGCTAAGAGAAGTATACAGACCTTTTTGGGCATTACTACACCATCCGGAGGTTTTGGGATATGCCTATGACTACGAGGATTAAGGTAAGTAATATTTCTGAAATTTAAAAACACTCAACATGAGTACATCTGAAGATTTTAAAATATTAGGCATGTTGACGGAAAACACTTACAAAACTTGATTACTCGCGATATCCTGCAAGCCTCTGACGGGAGAAGATACAACTGTTCTGAACACATTTCTTTCATATGACCAAAAAAATCCATTCATACCATCACTGCCAATAAAGAAAACATGACAAATACATGAGTCCTATTAAAAGACTAAGCAGAATTTGATTAATTACCATTACCAACACATTGACTAACCTAGCACTCGGGTCAATCGGCATAGCAGGTCTTACTCCAAGAGGTATATGACTACAATTTTGGTAATAGTAAGAGATATGATGAACCAACTTATGCGCACAGCTGACATAAAGTAAATCAAGCATCTTACTATTTCGGCAATGTTCCTCCTCCTGCACATAACAACTCAATGAAATTATGCACTCGAGCGCAACTAGGAATAGATTGGGTCTCATAAACTCATGTGCTGTGTAGGGCATGGCTCGCTCTAGACAAAAACAATATTTGAAGCTACAAGTTGGAAAGAAAACAACAAAGGAAAAAATCCATCTCGAACCCCCTCCTCTCAAAAAGAATGTGCAGTTGAGTACAAAAAAGTTGGTATAATCAGTGTAACAAGAGAATGCAATGACAGAGCACTAGTGCTTATCAGGTCGATTTAAAAGCTGCTACCGTCAATAAACAACTATTTTAATAAACTATAATCATCATTTCTTATCAGATTTATTCTTTGATATAATTTGAAAGCCGGCAGCTTTGGACCACAAATCTGAATTAGTTCATAAATGTGGTAGACGAGAAATAAACATAGTAACAAAGCAACACATCCCATACAAAAGCAATAATAATAAAATTTTCCAGACCGTTAATGTGCTTTCAAGCGTCCTTGTGGCAGAAAGCAACTTCTTCTCATCAATGAATGGCAGCTTGGCAACACCCTGAAAATACTCCAAACAAAAGCCTTATTGCCACTTCATTCTAAGGTATTCATAAAATGTTTTACTGATGAAATATCACATACAAGCACATGTGTACACAAGACAAAACATTACTGCATTACCTGCCATGAATATTTTTTGCCATTCATATCAATCTCAAAATCTGTCAAAAAGCAACCCAAGTAAAATACTAGAAAGTATACAAGATGTAGCAGAACACATCAATAACATCCAAGTGATCTCACCCGAAGGATAGAATTGAAGAATAGGTGATGAAGGATTAGTCATCAAATCACGATATCTTTCAGGTAGTGCACTTGAACTGTATCAAAAAATTAACAAGCATCAATATATGAAGAGTCACGTGATACAACAGATCTGAAGATGCAGGAAGCGAAGAAACCTTGAAGAGGGTAGAGTCCCCATGAGCTGATCAAATGGTTTGAATGGTTCTCCCATAAAAAAAGTTATTTCCAGATCAGCTAAATCTTTAAGATCAGAAGCAAAAGGAGCATAATGGTACGGGTAATACCTGATGAAACAATAAATATTGAAAATTTTGAATGGTGGTAATTCAATACAAAATGAAAGGCACTGAGATAATTATGTCATCATAAAGCAATTCAAACGCCAAAGCATATATCCCAGTCAGCAACATGGTAGTTAAGATCACGAGTCATCACGTGAAATTGTGCGTGTCTGCGATCTAGATGGATCTGGGCATGTTTGTGCATGGATGGAATCGCAATCTGGTGCGCACGGCTGGGATTGCCGCGCAAAACTGTTGAATCATGCAACTCTTTCTTCCATTTTTGAGTTTCTCACTTGGATTTGTGGGTCGGGTCTGCGACCCGGTTCCTTAAACACATCTTTTGGGATAAGAAAACCCTAAAAACTCGTTTTAAACACTTCGCTAGCTGCAACGATTAATTTCTTGTCCATGAATCCCATTTTTTTATGGAAAACCTTCCAACTTCTTGTGCATATGAACTCCCTCTCTCACGTTGCATTCTGCTTTGTTTTCTTTGCTACTGTCTGTAGCTTTTTGCATATGAATTCTCTCTCACCCTCTTTGTTTTGCTACTGTTATATGAAAGTACTGTTCACTACAATTGCAAGAAACTATTTCCCTGCTTTGAATCATAGTTGTTTGTGGCATTTATGACTTTTGTATAAATATGTTACAAATTTTATAATAAAAAATTTGAGTTTTATATATTTTGAATGTAATTTGAATTTTTACTTAATCACGTTTAAATGACCTGTCAAAAAGACGACACATATATTACGATCCCTCAATTCTTGATCTTGTGACCGCTTCCCGATCCTGTGTAGAATCTCGACTCTTACTACCTTAGTCATCAAGGCATCCAGTGTATATTACATCTTATTACTTTCCATTCCATATAACCGTATAGTCCTAGAATGGCAGTATCAAGCTACCAAATAATCGTAAGTCAAACAAATATCCAGAATTTGAGGCAAGTCAGCTTCCTAGGACTAAAAAAGGTCAAAGTAGTTGCAATTGATCCTTGTGGGACCAATAATGAGGGTAACTTTGCTTAGCATAAGTTTAGAAGTAATTTTTCACCAAAACTAGCTACCAACAGTATATCATTCGTGTAAATGTACAGCTTGTTGATCCAATATCATATAAAAAAAGTAAGCACTGGAGAGCAAATACAACAACTGTTATCCCATAAAAGCATAACTAACCACTGCCATGAGCAAACACCCTGATAGTAATACCGGCAAACCCAACAAAGGCCTTCTACATATTTCAAGACCTACAAGGAAAAATGTGACAATCAGCTACCTTTTAACGTGATATACATAAAAACCAAAAATTAATGGAGTTGAGTGCAATAGTCACTATCAAGAAAGTAAAAAATATACAATCCAACAAATATCTATTAATACATAAAATAAATTTTCAGCAAGTGCAGCAGTGCTCAGACCCTATCTACTCACGAGCATAACATACAAGGAACTACACAAGCATATTCCTTTACTCCTAATGGAGAAAGTTTTGGGCAATCCTCCAGTCCATACTACTCCTAGTAATGCCCAAAGTTTGACAGTTTTTTTTCAAGAGAAGTTAAAAAAGATAAAACCATACATGCCAAGTGTTCCAATTCAAGACATGCTAACAGCATGTGTCCAACATTCAGTATAGAAATTGGAAAATTTTAAGTGCTTGTCTAAAACATATTTCAGAAAATTGAAAATCTCACCACTGAAGATATGGGAATTTGAATATTTTAAGCAACAAAATTGTAATTTAAATACGTATTCCTGTTTTGTGCCATCAGTGTTTTATCGTAAGTCACAATGTGAATGTGTAAAACAACAGTAAACAATTCCAAGAATACTGGCTGAACTTACTACATCTTTCTTAATCCTCTCAATCTCCTGTGGATCTGATGCACCAAACTTTTCAGCATAATACCTTTCCGTGTATCCAGGCTCTCCTAACTTAACCTGAGATAATAAACACCGAGCAGTTTATAAAACAAATCTATATTGTTAATCCCAAATAGCATCCGTAGCATCGACCCCCTAAAATGCTATAGCAGGATAGCCGCTATTGCAAAGACTACAAATCATTGTGCAAACTGCAAAACATAAATACACAAAATTAAAGAGACCTTCATACTTAATGATTAAAGAACCTATAGTACAGAGCAATAAAACTTAAACTGAGAAGAAAAACATAACAAAACTGAACCAAAAGTAGAAAGAACATATCGACTGTTTGTGAGCAAGAACATAATGACTAACATAGTTTTACTCTTAAAAGGGTCCATGGCATTTATACCCTTAAAAAAGATGGGCTAAAAATGGCTTTGAGGATTTTCGCCCCCAAACCCTCCTAATAATACCGGGGTATAGGGCCGCAATAGCGCCGGCTACACACACAATTGTTGATGCTGGCTTGCGGGCCAAAAGCGTCGCACCGAACCCTACCACACCAACACTACACTACTTTGCGCATTATTGACAACATAGAAAAAAATTCTCATGACTTCTACATTTCTTAACCATTGTGGTAAAAACATTAGCCTAGCCATGCTTTAGTGTGTTCAGTTTTTACTTTTTTGCATCAATTGCACCCTAAAAAAAGTGATTCCATCTAATCAAAGACCCATAATCTACTTCTAACTGATAAAAGGAACATTCAATTTCAAAAAAGAACACTTTAGCCTGGAAAGAAAGGGAGTTGCAATCAAGTTATTCTAGAAGAACTACTTAAAAAGGGTTCAAAAAATTCAGTTGGACCAACATGGTAAGTTTTTTAGTGAACATGCTTCCGAATAGAATAACCTGGTGTGTTTGAAGATGGAATCAAGATTAGAAGGGCCTTCTGAATACATAAACAAAAAAGGTATAGTTCTGTAAGTCAGAGTGTGAATTCGATAACCACAGTTTTATGGGAAAACAATGTCAGCACAACTACTATACAAGTTACATTGCTATCCTTGGTGTATGTTTGGGAAGCCAATAGAATAATTTGGTCTGAGACTTTAGTAAGTTAATGTGGTGGAGTTCCCAAACATGCATTAAAAAAATTCAATATAAAAAAAATTAGTCAAGCCAATTGCTCAAAAGATTCTGGCAATAAAAATTATTACTGAACCTTATCTACAGCTGAGGCTGGTGGCCCTTCAGGCATTTCTCCTCTTGCCCTAGCTCTCATCCCTTCATTAATTTCTTGAGCCTAAATACAACCAAATCACAAGTCACAAATATTATACATTTGCAAGTAAACTTCAAATCATATTAAACATGCATACTGTTGGTGCATATCAGTTCATGAAATTGACAACCACTAGTTTTCGTCCCTTCACTAATTTCTTGAGCCTAAAACACAATCAAATCACACATAGTATACATTTACAGGTAAACTTAAAACAATATTGGAGATATATATGGCTTGTGCATATCAGTTCTTGGCAATAACAAGACAGCCTTGAGTAGGCATCAATGCAACTTGTGAACGACAGAAATGAAGCCTAATGTCACATTCAACCCCTTCACAATTCCTGTTGGGATAAGACAAAAGGATAGAAGGGGAAAGGACAACTATGGGAAACAAATATCATTGTATGTATGTTGGTTCATGCATTTACATGTCGGCGAAAAGTAACAGCCAAAACAGAACCACAGAATTACAGATTACAATGCAGCAGCAAGGATAAAAAAACAATAACCTACAACTTTATTGGATTAACAACCTCATTCATTCTTAGCATGATCCATCCTGACCAAAACCTGACTAAACATTGAGTTGTACTAGTCATTCATCATACATTTAAGATTGAGATTGAGAAAAAAATTATGATGTTCATCAATTGCACAACAATAGCAACAAAGTTGTTTTCACTATGTTAGGTCGGTTAAATGGATCAATCGACGCAATAATGTTCTATCAAATACCATTAACCATACTTTTGTCCAGGTCTTTAATCTCAAGATTTTTCTCAATAGATTCTCTTATAGTTTTTTCTAGGTCTTTCTCTACCTCTAGCAGTTTAACTACCTTACATCTAATTTACATTTCTTACTACAAAATGAAATGTCATTTATAATCTTATTAATTTCAGTCTTACCACACATCCAACGCAACATCTTCATCTTTGCTACACTTAATTTATTTTTGTATTGGTTCTTTACAGCCCAACACTTTGTCCTATACAACATCGTCGGTCTTACAGTTGTGATAAAATTTTCTCTTCAATTTGAATGGTGCTTTCGTATCACAGGAAACACCAGAGGCTCTCCTTCATTTAAACTAATCAACTTGAATTTGATGGTTTACATCTCCTATTTTAAGATCATTTTGTACTATGGAGCAAAAATATTAGTATGACATGATCTCCAACTTTCACCTTTAAGTTAGACATGCTTTGCCTTTTGCTAAAATCACATTCCATATGCTTTGTCTTGTTTCTACTCAAGCAGAAGCCATATGCTACTAAGGCTTGTCTCCAAGTCTCCAGCTTCCCATTTAATATTCCCCTCAACTCTCTGATAGGACTATACCATCTAGGACTATACCATCTGCCAAAAGCATACAATTTGGTGCTAACTCTAGGACGTGTATCATAAGTACGTGCAAAACTAAAGTAAAACATAAAGGTCCAGGGTTAAACTTTGGTGCAACCCTATTTTTATGGGAAAATTGTTTGTATTTGCCTTGTGTCCTTAAACTAATCAAAACCCCTCATACATATCTTTGATAGCTAGAATATAGGTAATCCTAACTCTTTCCTTCTCTAGGGTTTTTCACAAAATCTCTCGAGGCACCCTATCATACATCTTTTCCAAATCAATGGAAACTAAGTAGAAGTCTTCTTGATTCATCTTATACCATCACTCGTCATAGTAAGTAGATCACTTATAAGGTCAACCTCTCAGACATAAAATCAAATTTACGACCATTAATTTTAGTTTCTTTTCTAAGTCTCTATCCAATCACTCTTTTTCACAACTTCATGGTAATGACTCATACGTTTATTTCTCTATAATTTGCCCAATTTTCTATATCTCCCTTGTTCTTGTAGATCAGAATTAAAGTGTTTTTTCTCTATTCAACGCTTCTTTTACCTTGTGCTCATGAATCAATTGATAGTGGTTATGGTTTTGATTCACTTCTCTAATATCTATCCTATTAGAGTCCGATAAAATCGCATATCCTTCATTAAATAAATTATAGAAATACTTCTTTCATCTACCTTTTATATCTTTTTCCTAAACCAAAACTTTATCTTATTCATCTTTAATACACTTACTTGATCCAAGTCTATTGACTTTCTTTCTCTTTTATTAGCAAGTTTATATATAGATTTTTCTCCTTCCTTAATTCCTAAGTTTATACATAGATTTTTCTCCTTCCTCAGTTCCTAAGTGTTAGGAGTCTCACATTGGAAAGGATATGGCCTGAAAATATGTTTATAAGTGGGGGCAATCCTCCCCTTACAAGCCAATTTTGTATGGTTGTGTTAAGCCCAATCACAATTTTAAGATGGTATCATAGTATATCCATAATTCGTTGGGCCACTTACTATCACAATTTTAAGATGGTATCATAGTATAGCCATAATTCGTTGGGCCACTTAGTATCACAATTTTAAGATGGTATCATAGTATATCCATAATTCGTTGGGCCACTTACTATCAGGTTTCCGCTATAAGACCACCCACCATTTATATCCACGCACCAAGCCCAATAGTGTTGAGCATGAGGGGTGTGCTAAGAGTCCCACATTTGAAAGGATATGGCCTAGAAATGTGTTAGTAAGTGGGAGCAATCTTCATCTAAAGTTGGTTTTGTAAAGTTGAGGCTCAACCACAATTCTGAGACTAAGGATTAGTATAACATGTCAAAAACTTGAGTTTTTGCTTCGCTCACCTCCTTCTTGGTCTCTTTCTTAACTTCATTATAATTTTGCAAATTTCAGCATTTTTACACCTAAACCAATCTTTAAAACATTCCCTAATGATTTTACCTTTATTCTCAACAATTTCATTCCACCACCAATCCACCGCCAAGAATAGATTCTTTAATCCACTTCTTAATCCTCCTGACGTCTCTTTTGCTACTTATATAATCTCTCGTGTCATCTTGTCCCACATATCATTTGCTCTTTTTTTGTGGCTGTCAGAAACCTCTCTCAAAGATTTTATGTTGGAAAATCCTTTGTTTTTCACCCTTAAAATGTCACCACTTTATCCGTGGATGCCCCTCGTAGCTTCTTCTCTTTGCTCCCCTCTTAACCCTTGCATCTATAACCAATAATACTCTATGTTGACGGAACTGTTAGAAACTGAACTAGGATATAAAGAAAGAGAGAAGAGAGAGAATCATTTTCATTCAATAACAGTGTTACAAATGAGGATAGCGTAAGCTTATATACCTCTTACCTAACTGTGCTGACTCAGCACAGTGATGTTACAAATATACCCTTGCTATCTTACTATCACTTACTCTAATAGCTCCCCTAGAAACCTAGGTCACTCCCTGTACCAGAGTTGTTTTATCAAGGACCTGTAACTTGCTCCTAAGCTGCAAAAACTTGAGAGGGGAGAGAGGCTTGGTGAGTAAGTCTGCATACTGATCAAAAGCAGGGATGTGCTTCACAACCAAGCTTTTATTTAGCACTTTTCCCTTAGAAAAAAGATGTCAAGCTCCATATGCTTGGTATTGGCATGTATAATAGGGTTATGAGACAGGGCTACTGTACTGAGATTATCACACAGAAGAACTGGAGTAGTGAAAGGCATTTTCAGTTTTGTAAGTGAAGACTGAACCCATTGCACTTCGGCAGCAGAATTGGCAAGACTTCTGTACCCTGCCTCTGTGCTGGACCTGGCTACCAGAGTTTGTTTCTTTCACCACCAGGAAACCAGATTAGGACCTAGGAATATGCAGGATCCAGAAGTGGATTTTCTGTCATCAGGGTCAGCACCCCAGTCAGCATCAGAAAAAGCTGTAAGAGAAAGAGAGACCTGAGTGTTAGCCCCCTGAAGAAGAATCCCATGGTAAAGAGACCCTTTAAGGTATCTCAAGATCCTCTTTACAGCTGACCAGTGACTTTCTAATGGATTTGACAAGAACTGGCAAGCTTTATTCACTGCATAGCTGATCTCAGGCCTAGTTATGGTGGCATACTGCACTGCCCCAACTATAGACCTGTAGTAAGTAGGATCCTACAAGTTGTCTGTACCATGTTTAGTGAGTTTAAGACTGGAAATCATAGGAGTGGGAACACCATTGGCCTCACTCAGTTTGGCCTTAGCTAAAAGGTCTTTGATGTACTTCGTTTGGGACAAAAATAGAGATCCATCCTTGAGAGCAAACTGAGCATGTAACTTGATGACCAGCTCCTGAATGTGTGAGGCAGAATTTCCAGTGACAATAATGTCATCTACATATACTAACATAATTATAGTATATGTAGGAGTAACAAGAGTAAACAAGGAGGGACACACCTGCTAGAAGTGAACCCAAAGCTCCTAAGAGCTGATGTAAGCTTCTCAAACCAAGCTCTGGGGGCCTGCTTGAGACCATAGATGGCTTTATTCAGTCTGCATACTGATGAGCCAGAAGTGCTGTCCTCAAAGCCAGGAGGCTGCTCCATATACACTTCTTCTTGAAGTGTGCCATTAAGAAAGGCATTATTCATATCCAATTGTGTGATATGCCATTTCTTGGAGACAGCTATAGTAAGCACAACTCTGACAGTCACTGGTTTGACAACAGGAGAAAATGTTTCTTTAAAATCCAGACCTTCCTTTTGATGAAACCCTTTGGCAACCAACCGAGCTTTGTACTTATTTAGGGTTCCATCAGGATTTTGTTTCACCTTAAACACCCACTTGCACCCTATGGCCTGCCTATTTGAAGGTAATGGAACAAGTGTCCATGTATTGTTGTTAATGAGGGCCTGATACTCGGCAGTCATAGCTGCCATCCACTTAGGATCTTTCAATGCAGATTTGTAGGAAGTTGGTTCCAGTTCAGTGAGAAGAAGAGTTGGATTTTGTCTGGGTTTCACTATGCCACTCTTTCTTTTGGTGGTCATAGGATGTGTATTATTAGGATGCAGGGGAGGTAAAGGGGAATTGTCACCAGAGGAGGATCAATCTGACAGAGAGGTGGAAGAAGATTGGGAAATGGCAGGTGACAAGAGAGAACTTTGAGAACTGGAGGCATTGGGAGACTGATGCAAAGAGCAGAACCAGAACTGTTGCATTGGGTGGGGCCTGAACTGCTTGAAGCAGATGAAGGAGATGTGTCCGAAGTAATATGAGAAGGTGATGATGGCTGAGACAAAATAGTGGGAAATGGGGATGACACAAAGGTGGAGGTGGTAGAGACATTAGTAGGAGTAGTAGAATGAGGAAGTCTAGTTTCATTAAACACTACACCCTTGGATATATAGATTCTACCACTGGCAGCCAGACATGTATACCCTTTGTGATTGGTTGAATAACCCAGAAAGATGCACTCCTGAGAGTGAAAATTAAATTTGTTGGTGGAGTAGGGCCTAGGATGAGGATAGCAGGCACACCCAAATGCCTTGAGAAACTTGTAATCAAGTAGGCAGCCATAGAGCATAAAGTATGGGGATTTCATGCCCAAGAGAGGAGTAGGCATCATGTTAATCAAGTATGCTGCAGTCAGGCAGGCATGATCCCAGAACTACAGGGGAAGACTTGCTTGAGAAAGCAATGTTAGCCCTGTTTCAACCACATGCCTGTGTTTCCTCTCAACAGTCCCATTCTGATGATGTATGGGGCAAGTAAGCCTGTGTGAAATGCCCTTAGTGAGAAAAACATTGGTGAGAGGCTGGAACTCTCCTTCGCCATCAGTTTGAACTGACCTAATGACAGTTCTAAACTGAACCTCAATGGTTGTGATAAAGTGTGTGACTGTGAGCAGAACATCAGATTTCAATTTCAGTGGAAACACCCAAATATACTTAGAAAATGCATTAACACAAGTCAACAAGTATTTATAGCCACAGCCCACAGGTTGAAGTCATAGGAGCTGGGCCCCATACATCCAAAAACAGTAAATCAAATGCTTTGGTGTAAGAAGTGTGTGAGTGTGTACTAAGCGGCCTATGCACTTTGCAAGACAGCAGGGGACACAAAAATCTAATGATGGCTTCTGTGGCACTGGGACATTGCACAGCTGCAGAGTTGTTTTAAGCACTTCATATTGGGGATGCCCGAGCCTGTTATGCCACAAAGTGTAAGGAGACACACTGATAGAGTTGGCTGCAGAAGGAGAACTCCTTGTGATGCTGTTTATTGAAGCCATAGGTAGAAGAGAACTGAAAGAGTAAAGCCCATCTTTATTAACAACACCTTGTAAAACCACCTCATAGTTGGCCTGTGTTTTGACAAAGCACTTGTCAGCATGAAACTCAAAGTACACACGGTTGTCTTTTGCAAACTGGCTAACAGACATTAAGTTCTTGGTGATAGCTGGCACAAGCAGCAGATTATTCAATGTGAGTGTGGTGTGTGTGTGATGTGGCGAAGTGAACTTAGCTGAACCTATAGAGGTGATAGGTAAACCTTGTCCATTGCCAAGAAAAACTTGATCCGTACCAGGTAGAGTCATGCTCTCAGACAAGTAATCAGCATTATTTGTAACAAGATGAGTAGCTCCTGAATCTGGATACCAGGCCTGTGAGAGCTGTGCAGCAGCAGCAGCAGTAGTGGCATCTGTGCCTGTACCAGTGAAATAGGCTTGTGGCTGATAAGCAGGTTTTGCAGGGAAGCCAGGAGGAGGACCTCTCAAGGCAGGTGCAAGCCACTGATTGGGATTAGGAGCAGTCCACCGATTAGCAGCTGGTGGAGCAGTCATAGCAAGCACATGAGCACTCTGAGTCCACTGATTCCAAGGCTGATACTGAGAGCGCTGCATTTGAGGTTGTTGCCACATATGCCTGTGATAACACACACTAGCATCATGACCTGGCTTGAAGCAAATCTGGCATTGTACCTTGTATCTCCCACCAGACCTACCACCTCTGCCCCTATGTGAGTTACGGCCACCACGAAAACCACCACGAGACTCACCATAACCAGTCATAGCACCATAGGGAGTCTGTGCAGCAGTATCTTGAGAGACTTGACCAGCATCAACAGGTGCATTAGGCGTGGCCTGAGCAACATTAACCGAAATTGGTTCAGCAAGAACACTCTTCTTAGCCTTTTCCAGTTTCGCTTCGTGAGAGAGAAGCATAGATTATGCTTCAATAATAGGACAGAGAAGTGGACGATACTGAATGATCGAAGCTAGGGCATTGTACTCTTCTGGTAAACAATCAAGAATTGCTTCAATCTGATCGCAATGCGAAATCGGATCATTAATTGATTCAAGAACATCAACAATGCGCTGAATTCGTGCAAGATACTCTGCAACCGTCTTCTCACCCTTCGTAATCGTCTTCAGCTCCGGTCGCAGTTGTCGCGACTTCGCATTCGTGTGCGCAAACATATACTTGTGAATCTCATCCCAAATCTGATGAGAGTAACAGCAGTGAACGACACGAGGGAGAACAGAATGAGAGAGCGTCGTAAGGAGCCAGGTGAAGAGCAACGAATCCTGTTGCTCCCAGGTAACGTACGCTGGATTCTCGACGTCGTTCGCACGATCAGCTTCAGTGAGATACCGTTGAGGAATCGTCGGATTCACCAGAAGACGATGCAGTTTATGCGTTTTGATGATGCCTTCAACTTGTTGTTTCCAAGAACGAAAGTTGTTTTCATCAAGCTTCAACGTGATCTGTTGAGCGAAGTTTTTGAACGTGTTCTTCACATTGAACGCCACCGTCACCAGCGTTGCGACGGACGAGGTGTCAGAATCGTTGTCGGAAGCCATGGCTGAGGATCGAGTTTAAGCTCTGATACCATGTTAGAAACTGAACTAGGATAGAAAGAAAGAGAGAGAAGAGAGAGACACATTCTCATTCAATAACAGAAAGTCTTAGTTAGTTACAAATGAGGATACGGTAAGCTTATAAATCTCTTACCTAACTGTGCTGACTCAGCACAGTGATGTTACAAATATACCCTTGCTATCTTACTATCACTTACTCTAATAGGAACAACTTTGTTACCAACTCTAAATACAGAACATTAATATATCATAACTGATAGTTAAGAAGTTTGATTATTGCATAACTTCCAAGAGTTCACGAGTTTAAGGATTCATAATAACTACCCCTTACGAAAAGCAAGACAATCAAACACACAGAGTCAGAAATCACAATACTGAACATTGTTACCAACTCTAAATACAGAACATTAATATATCATAACTGACAGTTAAGAAGTTTGATGATTGCATAACTTCAGAGGGTTCACGAGTTTAAGGATTCATAATAATTACCCCTTCCGAAAAGCAAGACAGTCAAACACAGAAGAAAGTCAGAAATCACAATACCTGCTGAATCCGAATTCGTTTCTGAAATATTTGATCTTCATGAACAGCAACGCACTGAATGAAATTCTCCACTCTCTCTAAGAAAACCTGGGAGGTTTATTGATATTCACATTTCAATGCTTATTGAAAGAAGACAACCAAAGCACAAAAAATAGCAACCGAACAATTGCTGGAAAAGAATCTATCACATTCAAGACCAAATCACTGCCTTACAATAACAAATGCAAAACTGAACACAATTTCAGAGAAAAAAAATTTACCTCACCCGCATCGGTAAGATAGCCACCCATGGCAGTGAATTCCTTTCTATAGATTTGCATCAATAAATTCACAGCCCCCTGAGAAGGTAAAAAGCTTATCAAAGAGTATATCAACCATTAGGTAGAAAGCAAAATATCTAGATAAAAGGTCTAAACTTAAGTATGTTAAGGTCCTACATCTAAAGAATAAAGATCAATATGTAGTAACAAGAAGCAGATTGAATTGGCATATTTTCTGTTTTGAGCAACAGCTCAGTTTAACATGGCACCTGCCAGATGCGTACCTCACGTATTTCTAATGTTGGCATATGCGGAAGAAAGTCATTGCCAACAAAGAAGCATAGGAATACAAAATCATCTACTATGCGCTCAAAGTCGACCTCAAACGGAGGGTTGGGAATCGACAATTCACATTGCAAATATTCACGCAGCACCCAAATGTGAAGAAACTGGGAATAGAATTAGTAAGTAATAAAAAATCAAAATGATAGATTCAAAAAGTAAAGATTCAGATTGACATGCCAGATTCCAATCCTCCAACCTGGTATTTCTTCTTATGAATTGGGGTATCATCAACAGGATTCCAGTCCCCAGGTTTATCACCTGGTTTACCGCGACACTCAGCTGCAAGATGGCCAACTTGGCCACACATGTAACACTTCTCTTGTTGTCCAGGAAAAGTAATTACCTGTTCATTGAGATAATTAATCACCAAGGCAATCCATTGAGATCAATAGAGTTAAAATCAGCACCACAATTCATACACTAGAAACTAACCTCCCTCAATATTGAAAAATGAATCTCATGTGTAGCTAAGGCCAACATAATCAAATCAGCATCCTGATTTAAAGATCACATCACCCAACGTAAAGATCAATGAATGGATAAATATACAAACATAAGATAAGGTGAGATTTCCAGAATTGGACAAAAAAACTCACTAATCCATACAAACAGTGTCGAGTATTTGGATTGAAACCAGGAAGGTTACGCTGCAATCGAATATATTCCATTATTTTATGTTCTCCCTCGCCAGGAACATTTGAATCAGAAAGCAAGACCTTCAAATAATCACCCAAAGCAGCTCCATTAATATATAAATATACAGACAAACTATCCTGAAAACGGATGTATGTGCCATTTGGGTAAGATATATATCAGGATAAGGTCAAGTGCACCTTTGTATGCCGCCAGCCAGGGTTGTAATTCAATCTAGTTTGTATGTAATACTGAAGTGCTACTGACAGCACTGCCATAAATGGAGTGCCAGGAGTAATGACATTTGAGTCATGAGTCTCAGGTTTTTCTTTAGGTGTCAAAAGTTCTATCTGATCAGCAAATTCATTCCTGAGCCTTTCCTCTTCAGCTTCCTACAACACCCCATTGTAAGTCAAAATTTTGTCACAAAAATAGTAAGAGGCCATTGTAAACAAAGGAAAATTCATTTCCTTACAGCCTCAGCTGCATCTTTAGCAGCTCGAAAACGCCGAGAGCGTTGCTGGTTCATTTTGGCTCTTGGGGCAACACCATCTGAAGGGGCAAGAAAAATAAATACGAAAAAGAAATGATTGAAACGAAAAACCCATTCGAAGTTAAGTAAGACATACAATCTTAACATTACAAAATACAGAGAGAAAGATTGCAGCCTTCCAAAAATTGGATACGAGTTTTAATTATTCCATAATGGCTTTTTTCCTGTTTTAACTAACAGTTTACATTGAAAAGATTTGCCATAAATTTGAATGGTCAAACCACTCAGCCATGTTGCTAGATGTGTATAAACTTCTTTATTGTCATTACTAGGTTGTTGACATTAAAAGTATTAAATATCTCGAAATTATAACATAAAGAAAGCGGAAGTGGCAATGAAGATCCGGTAACATAAGTAAATTCGACACGTCTATGATGAGACGGGTAAAATTAGTGCATTACAAAAATACAAAAAAAAAAAAAAAACCGTTAAAACGCAACATACCAATTGCAAGATAAAGAAGCTTCCTTGGACGAACCAATGAAAAGAGATGGTCAATGTAGTCAAACATTAATTTGAATACATCATCATAGGTAGCAGGTGCTGGCTGCATTCAAAAAACTAATCAACAAGCATTTTGCAGAATATAATACATAAAATTCAAGTCTACATTCATGGTTTCAAACACAATCAATAAATTTATATTCCAAATTGCCATAGCATAGTCTGCTTCATAGTTCATGAGATTTCCACTCTACTCATGTCAAATCATATCTTCAAACAATAAACCCTAGTGGCACAAAAAACTCACAAATCCTCTAAGAGCCTGTTTGGATATTCAGTTTATTTGAAGCTTGTAGCAAAGTGCTTATCAAAATAAGCCCTTGTGAAAAAGCTTGCATACGCTATTTTTCTAACAAAGATAAAATAAATTTAAATTATTTTTATATATGCTATAAATTGTTTTCATGAGTTATTTTTAAAAACTTATAAAAATAAGCTTTAAAAAGTTTATGAATAATGTGATAAGCTATTCCAAACACTCACAACTTATGGCATAAGATAAGCTCAAATAAGCCAATCCAAACAGCCCCTAAATACAGCAACAAACTTCGAACAACCAATTCAACAACACAAAATTAAGCACAAGCATCAATTCACTACACAACAAGACCTTAACAGGTAAATTGAATGTCGAAAATCATACAAAGACCTTAAACGATGAATTGAAAAGAAACTCTAAAATTCAGCACTAATATCTCTTGCTCAACCGAAAAAACTAAACAAATTGCATATAATTGAACAAAATTGAAGTGAGGAGTACCTTGCCGTCAGGATGAAAACAAGGATGAATGATGCCGTTCATGTCCAAATACAAGTTGTCGAACTCCATGCCGTTGGGATTAGGTTTAGACACGTCAACGGGAAACGTAACACCGCCGGCAGGTGCTTCTTCCACGACGTCGACGATCGATCGAGGGTACCGATCCGCGAGCCACCGGTAAAACGCTGGCACTCCCATATTTCCGGTTCGGTTCGGTCTGTCCGGTTCAGAGAGAGAGAGAGAGAGAGAGAGAGAGAGAGAGAGAGAGTTTTGAAGAAGAGGTGAAGATCTCTGTTGCCAGTTTCGAATGTACGGGGTGGATGCGGTGGCTGACTAGTACTTTGATGAGACTAACATTGTGTTTGGATCCGTAGAAATTTAACGGAAAGAAAACGAGTGGAAAATTAGTTTTCCAGTCCGTTGGTACTACTTAATACTGCTTCGTGAGTGGAAATAAATTGTATTGATATATCGTCTACTCCTTTATAACTTATTTCTCATTTCATTTTCTATCATTTATTTAATAAACGTTCATTTTAAGTCCTTTAAATTATAATTTATTAATTATATTAGCCATTTCTGTTAAACTTTATCAAAATTAATTAGTTTTATTTGGCATGGCACTCTAGCTCATTCAAGTATTATTGACATGAAATTATTTTATTAATATTTTATTATTTAATTTGTTAAGCATCAACTCTCTTCTCTTTTTTTGATCAAAAATCCTAGTCGTCACCACTTGCTCTCTCTTTCTAATGTATTAGAAGTTGATGTTCATAGTCGACTTCCAATTAACAATTAGCTTTGGAAAATATTTTTCGTGTTTAGGTTAAACTTTGCAGTTTATTCTTTCTTTTTGTGTTCATTGAATTGAAGTTGTTTGTCATATATTAAACATAGATGTTCTCTTTTCTACACTACAATAAATGTTGGGTTTCTTCGGTTAGCTTAGACCGATAAAGATATGAACTCCCTTCAATGGAAAAAGAAGACTATAACTTTCGTGGTCAGATTTAGACCAACACGAACCACCGTTTGAAAAATCACAACTATGTATAAACTCCATGTCATCGCTTCTATAAAAACTCTTAAGAAAAATCAAGATCGAAGAAAATGATCAAAAATCACTGTGTCGGAAATCGCACAACCGTACCAGAAAAGCTATTGAATATGGTATTGTTTATGCTCTAGTGGTTTTATTTTGCATTAAAAGTAAACTTTCATGCATTAGTTTCATTATAACTTACATTAAATTATTTATTTTATTTATATTTTCAAGATGCATGTATCCTGAAGAAACTTGCTCCAACCATTGGCACCGCAAGAACTGTTCTTTGAAAGGTCTTCAAGCTAATGGGCTGAGGTAGAAGACATACAAGGTCAAGTTTTTTTTCCCATGACGTGGACGCAAGACTAAGGTTGGAGCAAGAAGTTCAATTTTATTTTTTTATATTAGTCATTTCTTCATAATATGCATGTATCTCCAATTAATTAATATTGGCTTTTGCTTGTTAGCTCTATAAAATATTATGAGATTCAATTTGATTTGTAACTGTATTTTGAAACCCCTACAAATATTAGGAAAAAAAGATGGTTCCTTTGTAGTGATTATATGCAGGATTTACAAAATGAAGTTGTGGTATGAATATGAAAGAATGTGAAATCTGTGTTGATGAATGAGTGTGTTGATGATAGCGAAAGAATGGAAATATGGTTTACTTTTTGAAGGTATTTTGTTACCTACAATACAATAAATAACTCATAATTTTGTTATCAATATTTATTATATAGTGCTATTTTTCTCAGGTGGAGGATAAAGTTGATGAACTACCACATGTGAAGCTGATGAACTACAACCACCAAAAACAAAACATAAAATACTAATTTTTTAACATATATGTTGGCTCAGCATATTAATAAATGCAACGATGTCATGCTACATAAACGAAGTTAACATTTTTTTAGAAAATTTAACGGTAAAGACTATGAGTGGCAAACGGACATGCTCGTCCCGTTTAGGCTTGCTCTGTAAAAGTCCGAAAAAATGGGGCGGAGCGGCGAGCATCTTTGAGGATGAGGTCCTAAAACTAAGGCTCGCCCCGCAAAAAAGTGAGAGCGGAGCGGAGAAAGCCCGCGGGTACTGCACTTTTTAAGTCTAAAAATGCAAAATTTAATATAAATGATTGTGTCTACAAAAGCCCGTGAAAAAAACGGGATGGGGCGAAGTGGACACATTAAAGGGTAAGGGTATAAACTCTTGGCCCATCCCGCACTAAAATGCAGGCAAAACGGACATGCCCGACGGGCCGGGCCCATTTTGCCACCCATAGCAATGACCAATATGACTAACATAATAGTTTTTAAAAGACTAATATGTAACATTTATTAGCTCAGATGTTTTCTTTATAAATAGATATTGATGTTATGAAAAGGAAGGATTTGATTAGTGTATACATGTGACAAATTTAGGATTTAACTGTTAAAGAATCGGTCAATATAAGAGTTTATATAATGTAAATAGTGAGAAAGTTCGGTGTTGATATTTTACGCATTACTATTTATGCATTGTAATGTTATTGTTATCATTGTTGATTTTGTGTAAATTCTAAATTGGGTTCTTTTAGTAGTTAGTTTTAAATAGGATTAGGATGATATGTATTGTTTATTTATTTTAATATTCTTTATTGTGCTTGAGTTTATTTTGTTTTTTTATTGTAATTGGTCTTTATTTATTAAATTTTTTGAATTGTTTGGACTTAAGACATCTTGAAGCTTTATTATGCGTTGTTAAAAAAAATTCTTTATCGACCTCTTTGGTAATAATTAAAAAATTTCTAAATTATGTATTAAATCAAATTGTAAAATTAAAAAAAAAATAAAAAATTGGCGAGCTGGCCCGCCAACTCGTTAGTAAATGAGGCGGGCTTGATTTTTGAGCTCGGACCTCTACGTTGGCTCGCCCTGCCCCGCCCCACTTTTGGACGGACTTAAACGAGGCGGACCTAAATGAGGCGGGCCACCCGCTTTGCCACCCCTAATTGTCATTGTGGCGTCGAGTAAGCAAAAATGATTATGTCAAAAAAATAAAATTATTAATTAAAATCTCACAAATCTCCACCTTGGAACAAACTCTATATTATCAAAGGAACAAATTAGCTTTCTTCATGCAGTTTATCAACTGTATATAGTGGAAAAACTTACAGCTTGTGTAGCGGTGAAAAATTAGAGATTAAGTTATTGATTAACTTAACTCACAAAACAAGAGTAGCCACCGCACTTTATTATTTTCAAAGAAATGGAAAAAGAGCGAATAAAACTCACAAAAGTTTTTAAAGCAAAACTAATAAAACAAAGAGATCAAGGTCTGGGGTTGGTTGTGCAAAGGGAGCACCATAAATATTCATGGTACTCCATGAGAACCTCTTTGAAAATTTGTGTATTTGACTAAAATGAGTTGTTTGCAAAAAAGATTGTAGGGATGAGAAAAGGAATGATTTTTTAGATTTTTGATTCGGGAAGACTTCGAGAAGAGCCTCGTGCCTACGTATCTCAAAAGTGCAATAAAGAAATCAAAACCACGTAGTTCTTCTAAAAAAATAAAGTTGTTTGTTGGTTAATTTTAAATGAAGAGACGTTTCGTCATCTTAAGGAGAATACTCAACCAACCATCCATAAACATGAGAAAGGTGGGTCTTTGCATCACAATAAAAGAAGGGATCCAACTTGGATAAAAATCAATAAGTATGCCACTAACTCTTTCAAGTGAAAAAGATTCAACATCATATCAATCAGTATTATGGACATGGGAGAATTATATCTCAACTATGAAGAGGACTCATGTCTAATCCTTGAGAAAAGGTTTTAAAATAAGAAGGCAAAATGACAAAATGATCTGAATGTGGTTTATATTTTTGTTAGGAGAACAACCTCAAGTGGTTCCCTTAAACAATGGATACTTGAACTTTTCCTCCTTTAATTTTGAAAGAATTTTGATATGCTTAAGTATCTTAGCATTTATTAAGAAAAGAAGTTTGAAACTGCATTTGACAAAGTCAAGGTTTATTATGAAAGTGGTTCAAGTTTGAAAACAAGAATCATTTGAAAAAGATGAGAAGATTTTGAAAATTGAAGAAGATGGGCAAGAGATGAAGGGACTATCCTAAAGCATAGAGTAAAAGCAAAGGTAGAAAAGATCTAACTAAAATAAGAAGCAAACTCTTGACAATAAGTCAACATTATGCATACATTTCCTTTGGATTAAGCCACATATATAAGTAAGTAATCAGATTAACATTATAAGCATCAGATGAAAATTTGTGCCTCAGGTTCAAGCTCAAGGTCTCAGCATCAGATGAATCACAATAGAGTGCAGATGACTTTTCATGTATCAGATGAAACTTGATGTCTCAAATAAATATTTTTGCACCATATGAATTTCAAAGCCTTAAAGTAACAACACCCACACATAGAAAAGTTCCCAACAAAAAGACAAACATAACACAAAGTCTCATATATAGACTGAGGTCACGGGGTCCAATGAAAGTCCAGGTCAAAGTTCTATCCTAAGTCCAAAGGTCCAAACTCCATAAGTAGAGGATAGTAACCATAGTTTAAGAGAGAGCCATTAAATTTTTTAATGGTTGAGTATTTATTAATGTCTTTAAAGAAAGAATAAAAATGCTCAAGGAGCAAAAGAAAAAGAACATAAAAATAAAGTGCTCAAGGAGCAAAGGATAAAAAATGCATAAAATAAAGTGCTCAATGAGCAAATGAAAAATGACATAAAATAAAGGCAAGAAAGTAAAATGACAAGAATGAAAAAGATGCTGAAAGTACGGGACAAAAAGTAAATTGTGGGTTAATTTAAATGACGGAAAAGTAAAGGTGCAGAAAATTAAATGTTAATATAATTAATAGTTAGTGTTAGTAATTAGTATTTTGATTTGGGACAATTTGGAACTATGTTAAGCAATCGTAAGTGAATTTATATAGAAGTTGCATATATCTGAGACCGAGCCAAAAAAAATGTAGGTGTATTGCATGTAATGCATAACATGGTTTAAAAGCAAAGGTGATCAAGACTAAGTCAAGGAGATGAGATCATTACGTCAATCAAATCCTTCATGATATCTTAGGACAAACTTTCACTAATCCAAAGTATCTTGAGTGATCAATTGATCACTTAGAGGTAGATTTGA